TGCTGTTTCGTATATACGGGGGTATGTAAAAAGTAATGCATGCTATAATCTAATATATATAAAAAAATATTTATTTCGGGAAACATCCTTTCATTTTAATCCTTTTACCTTTGATATTATTATAATTTAGTACACACAATATTTTTTTCGCCATATTTTCTCTTGTTTTTCCACTAGAATGATATTCGAGTTCAGTCGCAATTAAAAATATTCATATCTTGTCAGGTTTATTTATGTTTTCACCTCTAAAAATTATATCATTAAAATTTTTTATATAAAATTGATGACACCGATTCAGGATTTGAATTATGTTTAATCAAGATTATGATATAATATTTATAATTTCTTTTGTCCCATCACCCCCTCAACATAAATTAATTGTTTGAAAAGTATAATTTCTGTTTCTTATAAAACGATGAATTTAGTATCTACTCTTCGGATATGCAAATGTTAATCCAAAAAAAAAAAAATTGTATTTTATGCATTCAGCCTTTTTAAAATATTATGAAAATTACTACTATAAAACCACGGTAGGTTATTTAGTATTTTTGAAATCTTATTTTTCTGCTCTATTTGTTACTTTTTTCCGTAAATATATATGTTTTATCTGTGTTTTTTTAAGTCGCACCGACATCCATAATAGTTAATCTCATCTTGTTATTGGCAACAAGTAAATTATGCAATCAAAAGTTAAAAAACGACAGGACAATTAACTCGACAAGCAACGACAACGCGTGTGTGCCCGCCGTTTTTTGCCCGTTTCTCAGACGTTCTGATTTGTAAATTTATGGCCGACTTTTTGACGGAATGTCTTTTTTCATACGTCGAATAGTTTCTGAGAATTTACTGTCAAGAGTAGGAACATTTCTGACCACCCATAACGTGATTACGGGAAATGGGAATGTAAAAATTGCATTTACAATGCTCATGTAATTGATGCTTATAATGTTTGTTTACAATTTGAATTATACATTGTACGGAAATTAATTTTGCCGGCACATACGATACAGGGTATTTAAGGAATGTAGTATAACCTAAAAAGATAGAAAAATAGGTGATCCGAAACTGTCTGCTAACTTAGATACGATCCTAGGAAGTGGAGACCAAAACTTGAATGAGTAATAATGAGAACGAAATCTAAGATTAAAAATGTATGGAAGTTAGTATCTTAAATCTCAGCAGGGGAATTCTTATGCAATCCGACATAGTTCTAGAGAGTTCCTTCCTGATACCTTTTATCAATAGTTTTCTCGAATTTAGTACCGATCACTTTTATAAATACATAAAAAAAAACAAATGGAAAATCAATAGTTTACTATATATAATTAGGCATTTAGATGAAAACGGGGTAATCTATTTTTAATATTTCAATTATCGTTTAAATATTAAGGGAAATGGGTTTGAATATTAAATGTTAGATTAGTTTTCATTTTGTTATTTCTCTAAGGCGCGGAAAAATGCTACCACATATTCCTGAGACTTCAATATGACGATCTAACCCAACTTACCTCAGTCCAAAAGTGGATGATTTAGGAAATACAGAGTGTTAAAAGTTCAATTTGGTTCTAGATTTTCATAAATAATTTTTTTAATGAATGGTGTATTTTCACAATATTTGGCTAAAGGGGGTTTTGTGGGGTGAAAAATTAAAAGCTGCTCTCATTTTTATTCTAAAATTTAAAAGGCGTCATTTTTGTTCTAAAATTTAACAGGCGCCATTTTTTTAAATCCAGATATCTGACAAACGGCTGCTCAAATCTACTCTTACTACTTATACCTTTTTTTAGGTAAAAGACTTTGGAGAACAAGAATTTTTATTTAAAAGTTAAATAAAGAGTGGCTCAATAAAGTTATTTCGTTTTAAATGTGTGTATGGTACCTCAGGAAGTATCCTTTAAATTTTACAATAAAAATGAGAGCAGCTTTTAATTTTTCACCTCACAAAACCCCCCTAGCCAAATATTGTAAAAATACACCAATTATTTCTGAAAAACTAAAACCAAATTGAACTTTTAATATTCTGTATTTCCGAAATCATACACTTTTGGACTGAGGTAAGTTGGGTTAGATCATCAGATGTAAGTTTCAGAAATATGTGGGAGCATTTTTTCTGCACCTTTTAGATATAATACCGATTAACTTTAATAATGACTACCTTTCTTTTATTTATTGCAAATGAAAATAAGCAAGCGCCAATAATGTCAAACTAGGTTTGCAGAAGCCTACTTTGGATAGTGATTGTAGAAAAAACTATATTGAGGAACTTGCATCCCTAGGTAATTTGCGTATAAAGCCTGTAGCTTCACGATCAGGTTTCAGATTCTGAATTCAGTTCTAGAGAAAACAACTAACATTTAAATCTTTTCAGCATTAATATGTTATTGCAATTAAAGCTGAAGTTATAAGAGGCGTAACAACTTTATTGACGGCAACCTACCTAATAATTTGCAAGCGAAGTTTGTTGTATGTATTATAGGTAACAACGACAGTCAACAGTTAACGCCACTAATGAAAAATTATAGCCACCGCTATAATTATTTGCATTATAATGTTTAATTGTTCAAAACAAATGATAATCTGTTTATTTAAATATATGTAAATGTACATCTAGACAATGCCTTCGAAGGATGTTTTCGTTTTCGTAATTAGTTCTTAAAATAAACGTGAATTGTCATTAGCATGACATTTTTTCGCTATTTGCGTACATTTTCGTCTTTGTCTCAAAAGAAAAAACGAAAAACGGACGGAATAAATAAAAATACTATCTCAGCTACGTTCTTAAAAAAAGTTCAATCGAGTTGATGTATTTTTGCAAATAGATTTGTGGCGTTCACTAGAGAAACTACCTGTATATATTTTACCTTCCTGGTTATTTCTCATAGTTTTAAGTTGTTATGTTTTTTAAGTTTGTTAAAAAAGAAATTAGCCAATGCTACTATGCTTATCCATCCTTCTCTAAATGATCATATTTCTTCGACAGCAGATGCATCCAATACTTCTATGGGTGCTGTACTAGAACAGTTGCAAAACAAGATATGGCAACCTATAGATTACTTTTCAAAGAAACTCACTCTTACCGAAAGAAAATACTCTACTTTTGATCGTGAACTGTTAGCCATTTATGCATCCATCAAACATTTTAGATATCTTCTAGAAGGCCACGATTTTACAATCTATACCGACCATAAACCCCTTACTAAAGCTCTTAAATCCTCTTCAGAAAAAAGCCCACGTCAATTTTGTTTCTTAGAATTTATTGCTCAATTAACTTCTGGAGGAAAGTCCAATGTGGTCGCTGACACCTTATTACGAATTGACGATAGTATTTTTGTTTAAATGAAAATTGAATTGATGTAAAATCGTTGAAAGACTCTCAAAATGTCGACATAGAATTACAAAACCTTTTAAAAAATCAATCAACCAAAACAAAAAACAAACAGACATTAGAACTCTTAAAAAATTCTCATGAGGATATATAAATATGGTGTGAAGTATCATCACCTATACAACGTCCTTACATACCTAAAAACCTCAGATACAGCGTGTATGAACATTTGCACAATATCTGTCATCCTGGTATCAAACCATCCAAAAATATTTTTGGCCACGCATGAAGTGAGACATCAAATTCTGGGCAAAATCATGTCTTAAGTTGTCAGCGTTCAAAAGTACACAAACACAATAAATCCCCACTTAAAAGTTTTACCATTCCTAAAGGAAGATTCCAACATATCCATATAGCTCTAGTAGGGCATTTTCCTCATTCGTCCTAACGATCGTAGAAAGATTCACAAGATGAAGCTTACCCAATTTCGAATATCGCCGCGGAAACAGTTGCCAAATGTTTATTTAACCGATACATTTGTCGTTTTGGCGTACCTCACACAATTACAACTGACCAAGGCACTCAATTTGAATCCGGTTTATTTTCGGAGTTAACAAAATTTTTAGGGTGTCATAAAATCCATACCAACACTTATCACCCGAAAAGTAACGGTTTGGTGGAACGATTTCACCGCATTTTTAAAACTGCCTTAATAGCTAGATGTAATACAAATCGCTGGAAAGACGAACTTCACTTCATTTTACTAGGTTTACAAGCTACAGTCAAAGAGGATCTTCATTGCTCTTCAGCTGAACTCGTATTCGGACAAATTGTGCAAACATTAAACCGACAACAACATCAAATCATAGTAAGGAAAAACCTTTTGTGTATCCTGAGTTAGATTCATGTAAATACGTTTTTGTCAGAATTAAGGGAATCAAGCCGTCTTTTAAACCACCTCATGAAGGACCCTATAAAGTCAAACAAAGATTCTCAAACAGTATCGTTATAGAGAAGGGTGAAAAAGAAACTATTATCAGTATCGACAGGGTAAAACCTGCTTTTCTACTAACTAGCGAATCTGAGAATATACATCAAAGATCTAACAAAAAGAAAGTCACCTTCGCAGTAAACACTTATAAATTTTTTTCAGGATGGGGAATATTTGTGGCGTTCACCTGTATATATTTTACCTTCTTGGTTGTTTCTATAGTTTTAAGGTGTTATGTTTTTGAGGTTTGTTAAAAAAATATATGTTGATGATTTATATGTATCCATTTTGAAAATACAATCATCGTTAACAGAAGCCTTAATTTTATTATAAGATCAATAATTTTAACATCTTATGATATGTTGCACTGCCACCACAAGATTCAAAAACTATTCCTTCTAAATACAGGCGTTTAGCTTTATGTACTGTATAGAACGGTACTGTCTTCAGCAAAATAATTCACAAAACCATCAGCATTAAGAGCTCTTCAAATATCTCGAATAATTTCGGTAAAACAATATAACAAATTTAAGAATTAAATTAAACTATCATGTACTAATATTAAACAGTTTAGTAACAAGAACCAAGGAGCCAATCAGCTACTTTATCCATGATTACACATAAATTATAAAACATATTCCATTGTCAACTTAATAATAATAGAATTTTAATTTTAATACTTACAGTAATTCTAAACATCCATGACGACCCTTATCGTTGTTTGTTTGGAATGCAACATCAGAAAAACATCCTCCTCCACTAGATTTGCACATGTAGCCGGTCATTACGCAGGATGGTAAGTTGCAAAAACATCGCACATATTCTGAAACAAAAATAAAGTTTAAGAAATGCGTCATATTATATTCTTACTATGCTTTTTTTAAAGAAGTAAAACAAAAATTGAATCTTTATCCTACAGTATATATTTTGTGATTGTTTGGATTTTCTTTTGTACTTCCAACAGTTCAAAAACTGAATGTTTGCTAGGTTTGTCTCAGTTAAAAGAAATTATATTTTAAATCATAAAATTAAACCACAATGGTTTACGAAATAGAGAAACTCAATATTTTTTTATTAATCTGTAGTGTTAGCTTCCAGTATTTATTACATAAATATTTGCTACACTCCCTGTAGTATTTTTGGATGCGGTGCGTCTTTCGCTGACACAAGATATTCTAATATTTCGATGAGTGGACAGACGCAGTTTTAACAAGAAAGAAAGGGAAATATAGACCGGCATTGATACATTCATTATTAGCTGTTCAACCATTATTGATTAATAAAGTTTATTTTTGTAAAGTGAATTTCTATTACCCCTTAGCTAATATCAGAAGTGGGATAAAGAATCTTTTGTTGCGTAGTGTTGTGGTGTTCGAATAGTTTCTGTTGTGAATTAAAGTAGTGTTAAAATTTTTGTCAAAATTCCGAAAATTAAAAGAAAACATCGTATTTCAAGTAATTCAGGCAGTAGCTCTACTTCTTCTAGTTTCCGTAGCGCCGCTCTACGTCATCTAGTTCAACGTCAACTAGCTCTACAGAATCCAAAGAAAATTGTAGAGGCCACAGACGAAAATCTAGAAAATCAAGAGGTTAAAAAAACCAAGATAATCCTGACGAAATTTGAAAGAGTAAGGTTATTAGATAAAAAAAAAAACTAATGGAAATTGGGGTAAGTGAGCCTTTAGGGAAAAAGTAATTGTCACGCATAGTAATACTAGATTTTGACCGTAAAAATGAAAATATCTAAGAATATTATCGATGAATATGTTTTGTTACAAATTTGGACAAGTGGAAAACAAAATTACAAGCTTTAAATAAATTAAAAGGTAGGCGCTGAAAAATAGTACCTATAAAGATTTAATTATAAACGAAATAGTGCGTGGTAAACATAATAGTAAAAAATAAAGAGTTTTTATCAGAATTTATTTTAGATCGTAATTTTACGGAAAATAAAATAAAAAATATTGCCGTGTAGACGAAACATTACATTTTTTTAGGCATCAATAGTATCAACACAGCAAATAAACGAAATATGTTTGTTTTAGAGATTTTCGATACATAGAAAAGTATCGATACTGCGTATCGATTCAGATCGAAGTTTAATGTAACTGTACAATTTAATATCGTAAGCACCAGTATCGATATTCAAAATATCGAAATGGTATATTAATGTACTTAGTACAAGTAAATTAATTTTAAAATATTGCAGTGCAAAAATCATATACGGAAGTATAAATAGATTTTAAGGTGTACAATTAAAAAAAAAAAAAATACAATATTTCAAGCAATCAAAGTATGTTTAATATCTTATCCAAATATGGCAATTTAAATTTATAATTAGTGATTCATAAGTGTTATTTTGTTTTCGATACGATTGAACATATACATGTATCGATACGGAGTATATTTAAGTCACAGGCCTGTCACTCCCTATACTTCACATGTTAAATTCTGGCTCAAATCTCAATGACCTCGGCACCTCTTCCCTATTGGTCTGGAGTATTTTAGACAAATCTGGCGTCACCAATCGGAGCGTTGGTTGCTGTCACATGAGAAAAATGACATCTAGAAAATTGATTAGTATTTTTGCAGTTTTTCACGGCACAAACCTTCATGATGTAATTTGTATTAAAAAAATACAGATCTATAACAAAATTAGTTCATAAATAAACGTTTGAACCAAAAAGAGAAATGATCAGAAAGCTATGTTATATTAGATACATTTACCCGCGTAAAATATTTTAAATTTTCAAGGTCATAGACTTTTAGATCGATTGACATTTGAGTGCGATCTCTTATGTTAACTATACTTTTTGTTTAAGTCGTAGGATATCGATACAAAATATCGAGTTTCGAACCCCTGAATATCGATACTGTCAAATATCGTATCGAATCGCACATCTCTAGTTTGATTCTGTAGATGATGTAACTGTTAATAGCTTACTGTGTAGCTATGATTGTATTTTTATTTTAAATCTTACAAGGATTTAAGTAAAATCACCTGTGTTACTATGAAATTACATTTTATCTTGAACAATCGCAATCAATAATCTATACAGGATGGCCGTTGCGGTAGGTATAATTAAAATTAAATAATAATAATATTATCCAAGAAAGTAATTCACTGTATGCTAGCTGTTTTATTGGTTAACGAAAAAATTGTGAGAGTGACTGGTTAATTCAAGTTCAAAGCCAAAAAATAAATACAGTTTTATAATCAGGACAAAGAGTGGAAGAAAAGGAAATTTTTAATAACTACGATTTAAGAGCAATCCAAATTTTTAAATTAAACGATCCTATGTGGATTGTAGGCAGTGTTATTCCTGTTTGTACAATTGTACAAAAAGTTGGACAATCAGTTATGCGGTTGTACTGTTGTACGCACTTTTGAAAAAAGACAGAAATATTGTACAATTTGAAGTTGCGAGATATTTTTGTAAAATTGTATATATAAAAGGTTTTCTTCGCTCAAAAAGTCTACGATTCGTTAAATAGCATGCATGAAAATTAATAATTTAAAAAAAAGAAGAATTTTCAACATCGGAAAGTAGTAGGCCATAGTCTGTTAATAAAAAAGAAAAAGATTAATTAGTGGTTGTAGAATCGAACCTAAAAATGTACAATTTTCACACTGAAAGTTGTATAATTCAGAAATACCTAGGAACAACACTGATTGTAGGGTGATCGAATCGGTTATCGTAATTTTTGGCGGGAAAACGTATATAAATGAGTTATTTTTCTATGTACATTACTTATACAGGGACATAAGTAATCAATGGAGTATTGAGAATAAAAAAGGAAAAGGCAAAATATGTTATGTGAATACATTTTAAAAATAATTACGAAAAAGTTGGGAAAAGTACCTTTTACCAGTTTTCGATTGCCCTAGGTACCTTAAAATTACCGATGGCAAGTAGGTAGTAAAGACAAATCACAACCTAATTGGTGATTTTTCAGTAGATAAAACTATTAAACCAATAAGGAACCGGTTTTGGTTTCCTAAAATGTGAAAATTAATTAATAACTATGTCAAATATTGCCACAGTTGCCCATATAATAAAGCTCAATCACGTAAGAAACCAGGTTTCTAATTTTCCATTGTAAAACATTATCGTCAATTTCATAAACTGAATAATATGGCAATTCATAGAAACGAAAAAGGGTACAAGGTATAAACTGCAGAAGTTTTGTGTAAAAAAAAAGAAATCGACTTTATCAAACAGCTGTTGGTATGCCCAAAGCAAATGTAGATTTTGAAAGGTTTAATGAAACAATATTAGACGCCTTGGTCCTTAGTCGCAAGTGAAGCTTATACTAATTTAGAAGAATGGGATTCCAATATAAAAAAATACAATTGAGTATCAAAAGTACTACCAATAAAACAATATAATTATGTTCCATAATGAAACAAACAAAAAGTTGCGAGAAAAATTTAAAGGTTTATTTGTTAATGTAAAGACTTACAAACTTTTATTTTAAAACAATACTGTAGAAATTATTTACTATTTCTAAAACATTGTATTTGAGAATTTCAGAAATTATAAAAGTATTTGTAAATTATCTATTTCTTGTTATAGTGTGTCAAAGTATTTGTTTGTAAATATATTCACCTCTTTTCTAAAGACTTGAATGAAAAGCCGACACTATAATTTTACGATTATTTTTCTGAAACTTCTAAACAAGCAAAATGTTTTAATGTTGACGATGCATATAATGCAAGGTCTTGAATTGGAAAACTAATGTTAATGTGAGTTTTTATTATCGACTTCTATCGTTCAAAATACAAATCAGTAAAATGAATAGAGGATTTGATATATCATGCATTTTTCCTTAGGCAAGCAAATTAGTTCTACTGTGATTCACATAAGCAGATACTTAACAGAACCTATATACTAGGAACTCAATAACAATAACAAATAATATTATGTTCCAGGTGCTTCCAACACTAAGAGCAAATCAGTTTTCGCTACAGACTGGCGTTACATAAGAGTGCGGTGTTGACGATGTTGTAGTTGTAAATAAAAATAATATAAAGTAATTAAATACGGTGGTTACAAAATTAGTACTAAAGAACTGAGTTAAAAAAAATACTGACGATGAACAAGGTTTCTGAAGATGAAAAACTCAAGAAAAGCAGTTCCATGGAAATAAATATCTCTAAAACACTATCAGGTGGAAATGTTTTCAGACATAGCACTGCAAAAAGGCTAGCAGGTGAAAATATTTTCAGGCATAGTACTGTAGAGGACCCATTTCTAAAACACTATCAGGTGGAAAATTTTCAGACATAGCACTGCAAAAAGGCTATCAGGTGAAAATGTTTTCAGGGATAGTACTGTAGAGTCTCGTTTCTAAAACACTATCAGGTGAAAATGTTTTCAGACATAGTACTGTAAAGAGTCTATCAGGTGAAATCGTTTTCAGGCATAGTACTGTAGAATCTCACACTAAAATACTATCATCAGGTGAAAATGTTTTCAGACATAGTACTGTAAAGAGTCTATCAGGTGAAATCATTTTCAGACATAGTATTGTAGAATATCTTCTCCAGAACACTATCAGGTAAACATGTTTTCAGGCATAGTGTACAATCTCGTTTCTGAAACACTGTCAGGTAAAAATGTTTTCAGGCATAGTACTATAGAAAGTCTATCAGGTAAAAATATTTTCAGGCATAGTACTGTAAAAAGTCTATCAAGTGAAAATGTTTTCAGTACTCGCTACCTAAAGTCAACAAAAAAAAAATAATATTTGTATGGTGATAAATTATTATTATTCCAGATATTTATACATCAGATATACCTTGAGGACAAGGTTTACATC